GGGGGGGGGGCTAACACGGGTGACGACGCATCTGTATAATCTGCGGCAAACTGTTTCAGGGTGTTCTGTACCATAAAAATAGTACAGAGATTCTTTTGTTCTTTAGACCAAATTGATTATTAAAAAGAGTGAAGAATACGCATGTTAATTTCTCTAGAACGATGTACCTCTGACGAAGACATGAGATCTCCGACCTCTAGTTTCAGCATGTTTTCATCTGACCATGTTGCCACTCTTTCTAAGTCTGTTTTGGTTTCTGTTCTAATGTCCTCTGATGTGTGTCCTCGTGTGTGAATCGTGCTATCATCAGCATATTGGTCTAATGACCCATTTTGTACCGCCTCTGGCATGTCGTTTACGTAGATGTTATACAGTTGCGGACCTAAGCAGCTACCCTGTGGTACCCCGCAGTGTAGGGTGTTCTGATTGCTGTAGGCTCCATTCGTGTAAACTTGCCATTTGCGGTTTGTTAGGTACGATTCAGTCCAATCCTAAATATATTAATGTACGCAATGCGCTATACACTAGACTATCAGATTCTTTCCCAGCATTCACCGCAATGAACTTAGAAAGAAAATTTCAATACATATTGACTTGTGACAACCCCTACATGCTATACATAGGGATACATATTAAATACTGTGTGGGTATTAGAAACTCCTTCAACGATTGTATAAGTTGATACCTATCTACCCATGCCACTTTTGTATTAGATTAGCTTTATGAAAATGTAGTTGACATGTACTTGCTTAAGTTAGTAGATGCCATACTTTGTACACTTTCCAATTGTTGCGCAATAAAGTTATATATTTTATCCCTGGAGACCAGACCAAAACCCAAGGCCCAAAACGTATGTTTTTTGGTCTTATTCCCTGAAATTTGGTATGGAGATGTATAGGGAATATACAGACAGGACATTTGGTATGCCCGCCCTTAAACATTCCCACAGAACTTTATTCATGTTATTGGCAGACCCTGTGTACTTTAAATGATGTATTTTGGGGAAGAGGTTGGGAAGAAAAGTCCATTTTGCACGGGGGTGTTTATGGAAGAGTCCATTGTTGCAGGGAGTAAATTCAGAATGTTCATTTTTTGGAGTGGGGTCCATCTGTAGTCATTTTTTCTTATTAGTGTGATACAAATTTCAGGACGTTATGATATAAAAGGGATGCACATACATACTCGTGCACCTTGCTTCTGTCTCTTCCTGACTTTACTGGCTTCCAACTGATGGCGGCGTCAAAGTACACGTAGTCTCTTCTACCGTGGGAAATGGAGGTATACACCGTATCCTGAAGACGTGGAGAAATGTTGAGATGTATCACGAGATTCTCCATGTTACTCATGTTCGCCACTCACTACTGTGATGCAGATGATTTTACAAAACTGTCAAATCTAAATACTTGGTAGAAAAATATCCACATATAATGATTTTGATAAACGATCCGCCAATCTATTATAAACTGCCTAAGAAATGTAATAAGATAGTTTAATTTTGTAGTATTGTTGTATTACTGCCACACATTGTACCATGTACGATTGTCAAGCAATAAAGTTCATCCATTCATTCATTTAAAGAAGGAAGCAAACCTCACTACCTAGTATTTTATAAGTTAATCAGACAGTGGCTGTATGTTCTCTATTGCTTTACTTTACCTCTCTGACCCTGTACAAGCAATTAGCCTCCGGCATATGGTTGTGCAAATAGAGAATTATCTAAGAGATAAAAGCCATTTGCGGCTATTCCTTGCCTGGGGTGGATTAACGATTAAATATTGAGTCAACGGGACAGCAATTTTAGATAAAACAATAAAAACAGCTGTGCAATAGATTAAACCA